GGGAACGTCGATTGTGCTGTGAATAAATGAAAAAGATTCCGTCGTTTCGTGTCTGACCCAAAAATACAAGACTCCAGCGAGGAAGGAGACATAGTATAGAATCGTTCCAATAAGATTGTAAGTTCCTCCCATAACCAGCCCAAGTTCCGGATATGGCATGACAGCCCTTCTCCAGAGACGGGGACAGAAGCTTGGCAGACAACAAATATGACAAATTGGGAGCTCTATGAGCTCATGGAGTCAAGATATCTCCTTTGCCATGTTTTTAAATGGGAAGAGCGCTGTACGGTGGACAAATTGAACCTCCGTCGTGGCTTACGATAGGTGGACGGTATGTTGTGGTCAAGTCTCCGACGAACTCCGATATTTCCTGCAAGTTCTCCTCACTCCGAAAATTGGCAGTCAACATGCTTAGCTCTGTCCGCTCTCCGATTACGCAATATGAATTCCGATTTGGATCAGCGACTGAACGCCGAGCGGGCCATTTTTCTTAATCAGATATGACCATCTTCTAATATAATAAAGCTTGCTTATGATGAGGCCAAACGATATAGCGGTAAATAGTTCCGGGTGTGCCTGACAGTTAATGAGCCTACTTGATGTGATGAGAATGGAAATCCGTCCTATGACTCAGATGCAATCTCTGAAGGTTCACACTGTCGACTGGTTTTCAAGCAGCCAGACGCCTGGGACGAACGCCGGCGGAAGAGAACATAGCCACCGGGTCGATGCGTGCGCAGCTACCTCGCAGGACTCAATGATGAATAACCGTTGCGTTTTACATCAAATCTCGCCTTCGAACAATGCAAATTGCCCATGGAACACTGCCGAACACGTCCTGAGTGAGCAGCCGGGACCGAATCGATCAAACATAGGAACACGCAAGCAAACATAGTTGCTGCACACTCATAAGGATACACCGTGTACAAAGACTGGTCTCGAACAATCATCTGCGACTATGGGATCCAAGGAATGCCTTGACGAGATGCTTTCTGTTAGTAACCTCGGCCGGAACGTTGAACAGCTGACTTCAAGTCATGACTGGAGAGGATACGTGCCATTTTACTGTCCACAACCTGACGGAAGTGACTTTCTCAATGGTAAACTACAAGACGCGCTCAATGGTTCGTTTTGGGGGCAGTCCAGTCAGAGAACTACGTTGCTCGGTCCGCGACACATGGTTAGAAGTACTGGAAAAGAAGCAAAAGTCTTTGGGGTGAGTCCTGCATGGCTCAACTGTCTGGCCTCATCGTTGAAGCGATCACTGACTGCGGGAAGGTTCTTGACTAGCACCCGCATGCCACTATCAGAAGCAGCGGCTGAGTATGAGTTATTTGACGAAGCTCGAGTCTCCAAGGTCATATTTAAGCCAAGCTTATGACTGGTAACGTAAATCACGATGGTGATGACGCCATTGAGATATTAAATGACTGTGAAGAATGATTTGCAAGCAACTCATGCCGGTGTAGGGCATTGAAGACGTCGCTAGTACCGTATCAGACGCGTTGGACGCGACGAGTTTCAGCAATCCAATGACCCATAGCAATGTAGAAAGCACCATTCAATTCCGTAACACAGAGAACTTTGCCATTTGGCCGGCCGTTTTTGGCTGTCTGGGCGGAAAGTGATGTGCAACGACGGCGGCGAGAGGCGACGATGGCAGCAGAGGCGGCCATAATATCAGCGAAAATATTAGTGATAATTACATGTGCTTCTATGTTCTATTTGCTCTCAAAGTTCGGGGATAGTCACTAGCCCACACGGGCCGTTCTTTGCCCAGCCAGCTGAGATTGTTTCTTAGGGTAGGAAAAGACTCAACACACACGTGTCGAAGACTGAGTGGTATGAGATCAACTGTGGCTGCTCGAGCTCCGCGTAATAATGCGCACATGCCGACATGTTTGATTATAAAATATCAAATAGCCACGCCGTCAACAATAAATGCACTTGATACGTTGTCCCGGCTCCGGTTCGCTGCGAAGGTACCAACTGGATTAGGTAAAGGAGGTGGCTGGTCCAATAAAAGCCAGTCACCACTCAGCAATATGCAGGCAGACTGATAGGGCATCAATGATCAGTTGCGAGTGTTTGAGTAAGCGCCCGCATCTCTCTTCCAATGGCGGCGCCGTGTTTACCTGGTGTGATATCCTGCCGCTCTACACAGCCTGACGTGGCTGTGCAGGGCAGACTGGGACATTTCGTATCGAATAACGCATGATGGTCCTCCCTGTTTTTCTCTCATAGTCAGGAGCCTTTCTATCATTGCAGCCATTTCGTTTGCCTCCTCGATCCCATTCGTCATGGAGTTTACTCTTGCCTTTGGTGCCGTCGGCGATTTTATCGCTGTGATAGCACTGATCAAAGACATCATCAAGGCACTTGACGATTCTCGTGGCTCCGCGAAGGATTACCGTGACGTTGTGCATAGCCTCGAAATTCTTCAGAGGACAGTAGAGCAGGTGAGCAAGATCTACGACGACCACGGGGTTGCCAAAGATCTGCGCGATCTAAGGATACTTGCGATGAACAGCACCAGTCAGATTCGGAAGGGTCTTGAGGCATTTCGTGATCGCAATCGCAAGTATGATCGCAGTCTTGGGGCTGGGGCGACGAAAAATATTTTCCGACATGCCTTTCGGAAGATCCAATGGAGCTTTGAGGAGAAGGATGCCATGAAGTTTAGGGATGAAATGAGAGGCTACACAGTAACGCTGAGTATGCTGCTAGACATAACGATTATGTGGGTACTAGCCTTAAAGCTGATGTGCAGTCGTAATTCTTGGTGCTAACTTCCAGCGATTGACAGCCGCCTGTTGCAACGAAACCATGAAGCTCGAGTTACCCGGGTGGCCGAGAACGAGGACCGCACGGCCATTGCCATTCGCAAGTCGAGCCAAATGCTGAAACAGTATTTTGGAGCCATTGGTCAAAGAATGCTTTCCAAATTGAGCTTCATAGCTGGACTCGGTATAGAACTTCGAAAATCCACTTCAGATCTCATGACGATGATGGTATCATTGTCGGGTGATCTGAGTGGAATCAAGGCCGTCTTGACGCGGCTCGAGCGGCCCCTTAATGATGAACACTTTATCCTCGAAGACATTACAGGCCGAGTTTTCCCTATCCATCTCAAGACAATCACCTCATGGGATGCTTTCGACTTTATCCTTGCAGCCCGATTCCGAGGCAAGAAAGGCGCCCACCGGGTGAAAGGCAAACAATATTCTTTGCAGGAAAGGGCGTCTCATCGACAGGTAGACCGCTCGATTGACTGGGAGAGCGCATTCCTGCCATATCAGAAGATTGATATGAGTCTTATCTGCAGAGAAAGTCAAACAGGGTCCCAGACAATGTCAAGCATGAGCTGTCCGTGGTGTCGGACTGTATCCCCGGGCTCGGTTGATAGGGAGACTCAATGGTAAGTAGCGATGGTCTGATATCAAACTTCGGATTTTGCCCTGACGTTCTCCAGTCGAAATTGCAATATGTTCTTCAAGAGAGTGTATGAGAAAGATGATGCAGAAGCGCGGACCAACATCACGCCTGTTGCTGCTGCTACGTCGCAGGCAATACCTTCCGCGTCCAGCAACCTTATCATCCGCTTTGGAGAGCCATCTTTCAAACCGCAAAAGCGAAAACGCGGGATTGGAAGGCCAGAAATTTGTGCAGCTGGTGATCCACGGGCGACGAAGCGAAGACAACGGCCAGGCGACGGTGGCAATAAGGTGTTGGGCGAGGACGAATATTCAGACTCCGATGATGAAGACTTTCGTGGTTTTATACGGATCACTCTTGTCTCAAAGAGACCACGGACTAAATGGTTCACATCAGACCAAACGGAAACGTTCGCCACTGCAGCCCAGAGACTTAATGGAAATGACGCAACTACAAGTGCCGCGAATAATACGATCCGCAAGCAAGTATCATATTCTGCGGGAGGTAAGAAGGCTGCCGAAATAACGGTAGATCCCAGAGCAGCATTGCCCGCAATCGCGCCGCAGTCTTTTCGCGACAATGTCGCAGATGACATGGAACTGAAGAGCGACTCTGGTGATGATGCAGAGAGCGGATCCGAAGTATTCCAGCGTGACACAAGCCCTGAAAACGAAGTTACTATGGAACCGCAGCTTCCGATCTATGGAAAAGGTACTCTCATATGCATCACTGGGAATCATACCAAAGAGGCGCTAACTGTAACACTCAGATCGACAGGCTGGTTGTCTCGAACGCGAAAGAAACAACATCCCTAAGCACCTTGCCGCAACCACTTGGGGAAAACGGCAGAAACCTATCGTCTTTCTCGATCACGTGTTTGATTGCACTTCTTTGGCGAGATGGATTAAAGAATGCGTCATGAGAGATGGCTATTGGCACAACACCCGTGAAGTGCACCATATGCTGGTTGATATAGCGACAGACCTAGAGTTTCTGGAAGAGTGTCGAGAGTCGGCTGACTCAATTGAAGAGGAAAATATGGACGTTATCAACGGCCTGCTGTCTGAGACCACACAGCAAGTCACAGTGCTTCAACGGGCAATCCAAATATCCGAGAGCAGTGTAGGACATGACACGGTCATGGGACGCTCACCGTCGCCTCATGTTTGGGGCGGTCTTTACTCAGGCACAGCGCTTGCGTTGACGTTGAAAAGAATCGAGTATGTGCCCAAGATCCATAAAATGAGGTGGTCGTGGCTCTACGAGGACCACTGCCTCTTGGCGAGGAGAGTTGACTATCTCAGGTGGGCGCGAGATCTGCGTACGTCTAGTTCGCCCACGAGGCCAACCGTCAACGATCTAGCTATCTTTGACGATTAGAAATCCCAATATTCTATGGAGTCAATACTTTTGGCAGATCAAGTCAATCGCGTCCTTCTATCAAGGCTCGCTGCCGCATGACGAGTTTTTCCACAATCACGTTGGCCACTCGATGTTTCTTCATATCAGTCATGAATTGTCATTATACTATACACATGTTTCTATTTTGATACAGTTGTTCCCAGTTACTCCTGCGCAATCTTCAAGACAGCCTTGCCGAAGTTCTGTCCCGTAAGCATACCGACGAAACCCTCCGCAGCCTGATCAATGCTCTCCGTGACGTGAACCTTGACCTTCAAGTCACCCTTGGCAATAAGAGGCTGCACCTTCTCCTGGAAGGGCTTGTACTTGGCGGGGGACAGGTCGACAAGGAAGCCCTGGAAAGAGAGCTTCTTGGCGACGAGGTGGAAGAGTCCACGGACACCCTTCTGCTGCTCGAGAGGGGTGTTGTAGTCGGAGATCATACCGCAGCCGATGATGCGGCCCTTGGGGTTGAAGGACTCGAGGGCAGCCTCGAGGTGGTCACCACCGACGTTCTCAAAGTACATGTCAATACCTTGGGGCGCGAGACGCTTCAGGGCGTCGCGGGGAGACTCCTTCTTGTAGTTGAAGCCGCCATCGAAGCCCAACTCGTTGATGATGAAGTCGAGCTTCTCGTCAGAACCGACGGAGCCAATGACCTTGACACCCTCAGCCTTGGCCAGCTGTCCGACAATCTGGCCGACGGCGCCAGCGGCGGAAGACACGAAGATGGTCTCGCCCTTCTGGGGCTTGCCGATGTCGTAGAGACCCTCGTAGGCGGTCATGCCAGGCATGCCGAGGGCGCCGACGAAGAGCGGGAGGTCGACGTTGTGGGTGTTGGGAACCTTGAAGAAGCCCTGGGTGAACTTGGCGGGGATGACGGCGTACTCGGCGTTGGGGCCCATGAAGGAGGTGACGAGGTCGCCGGCGGCGAACTGCGGGGTGTCGGAGCGCTCGACCTTTGCGACGATGGAGGAGACGATGGTGGCGCCCTGCTCAAAGGGGGGAATGTAGGACTTGCCGGCCTCGGCGGGGCGCATGCGGCCGCGCATGTAGGGGTCGAAGGAGGAGTAGAGGACCTTGATCAGGATGCCGCCGTTGAGGGGCTGGTCGAGGTCGATGGGGCGGTCCTCGACGGTGAGGTCCTGGCCCGGGACGGGCAGGCCCTTGGGGACCTGCTTGAAGACGAAGCACTTGTTGGAAACGGGGGCCATTGTGATGAGTTGTTGACGATCTGAGGAAAGGGGTATCAAAGGGTTGGGTATCGTGAGATTTTTTAAGACGAATGACAAAAATGTGAAATGGGATGAAGTTGTACTGCTGTTTCAAAAGTCAACTCAATTTTGGGACGGGATAGCTGCTTTCTTAAATGGGATTTGAGCACTTGCTCCAGATCATGACGAAGCTCCATCGGGCCCGCGCCGGGTCCGACGAGGTGGTCCCTTGATGCTGGCCTTCATGGCAAACACGGGGTTGCCAGCGGCCGGACCATGCTCTTCAGAAGACGGTAGAAGCCATAACGTCATGATGGAAGAATGGCATTGCACACGTCGAACAATCCACTCGTATGGTTGTCCTCTCGGTGGGGTATGGGTTTCGCCTTCTGATCTAGGCTTGGCTGTCAGTTCGTGAAATGGTTCCCCGATCTAGGATAGCCTGGGAATCCTGCCAGCTTGTTTGGGAACGAGTGCTGCTCTCAAGGATTGCTTGGCTGATCGCTTGACCGCTTGCCGTGTGGATAATTAGTAAGTCAGCTCTCTGTGCGAACTTTTTTTTTCTTCCAATTTTTTGCCCCTCATTTCTGTCACTGACATCAAGATGCCGCGGCTCGTGGCGGGGCTACCCGCTGCACGAAACGGTAAGCGGTCTGTCGCTAGGCCAATGAAGCTAATTGATCCCTCCATGGACCGGGGACTTGGTTCCTGTTCTTTCTTAGGGTTGTTTTGTTGATAACGTTATGGTCGGCGTTAAGGTCCTAATGCTACGCTCTGTAGTATGTACCGCCACGTCGCTCTTCTCTGGTCTGCAAAACTGACGGAGTCGGGATTGCCGCTTTGTCCAGGAAGCCCCGAGTCAGGAGTCCGTCCCATCACTGACTAGCTCTTGACAGCATTTCGTCGTGTCGCCTCAGAACACTGAGAGGGCCACAGAAATCTCTGCCATGAAGCAATGATGACAAAGCGAACACCAGACACCTCCGGAGCTGGCTGCCCGTTTCGGTGCTCTGGCTCCGAACGAAGCTCCCAGAGCCGCCGGCCGTGCTCCCGGTTACCAGGTCCGCGGCCGAGGCATGGAGAGTCTGGCCAGGCGGTCGGGACGGAGCCGAGGTTGACTTTGGACCCCTTTGATGAGCCTTTCAAGCGTTGCAAACGGGGTCCGGGGCAATTGACGGTGTCGGGCAAATGATTGCTCCAGAAGTCGAGCACTGAGAGAGGGGCCAGATCCAGTTGTGAACTTGTGTGATGGTATTCTTGATTTCAAAGCCACAATTTCCGCCCTCCACATCGTCCCAATTCCGCTATCCACTTGGGGCGATCATCCACTGATTCTTCTCGAATTCTCGAAATCTCCGATCGACCGCGGCCCATGCTGTTCTTCAATGATGTGCCGAGTGACATGCTGGCAAGGGTCCTAAGCAGCATCTACCGACAGCAGATGTTTTGTTGTCGCCATCATCCTCGCGTGTCCCTTGATGGTTTCTTTCTCTGGGATCTTTGTTTCGGACGCGGTATCCGCGGACACAGTCACGAGTTGAACACCTGATGATGACCCGGATTCAACCCAGTATTCTTCATAGCCCGTTGGCACGAACCCGATCTTTTCGAAAAACCGGTTTCCATCCTCTGTGGCCGTGAGTGCTGCCAACAAACATCAGTCACCATCTTCTCCATCGCATGCTCTCGACAGAACTCACCCGACTGCCCGATGATCTTCCACCCTTTCTCCGCCGCAGCCTCGACGACAGAGTTCATCGCGAACCTTCCGAACCCAGGCATTCTCATCTCAGTCTGGGGATCATTGGTCCTCTCGATATGGAATACATGCAGCCCAACCTCGGCGCCTTCGTCGCTAACACAGGGAAACATAGTCGCAGGATCAATGTTCGTCTCCTTGAGCTTGCCCACGAGCAAATCGCGCCAGAATGAAGAGAGGACAGGGAGAGCGATGATTGTGCCGGCTAACGGCCACGACATCCACTCGCTTCTGACGGCGGTGAACCAGAAGCATGAGGCAAGCTCTGGTGCTGCGTCCGTCCAGCTCCGGAGGCGGTCCAAGGTGAGCGGCGCGGGGTACATTCCCTGGTCCGACCCGAAGATGTCTTGCAACATTTCGTCGTCGAGGCCTTCCGCCATCAATGGCGCCTGCGGGGGTTCCTGCGGCTGTTTCTTCGGAGGCATTATTGATGTTCGACTCTGTCCACAGTTCGATGATTGATGACGTTGAAAGAAGGTGAAGATACAGCAAGATGACGCGCCTTACCTCGCGCCCTAATCGTTATTGTTGGGGACGCGCAGCTGAATGCTGGCATGACGCGCGCTGTGGAAGTTCTGCCACGGGGGTCGAACCCCACCAGATCTCCCCTGATGCGACCCAAGCCACGGCAAGCAAGGTGCCCGCCCGCGAGAGTATGCAAGGTCAGATAACGTGGGTTGGATGGCAGATGCCTGAACTCGGAGTAATGAAACAATGTTCGACATGGCATCGAAAGATTTCTCTAATAAGCACGGTTCAGTGAGAAGCGTCTTTGGAAGTTTGCATTTGTAAAGGCTTCAGACGCTGGCTCTGTTTAAAGTTTGGCTGTGAAGATTCCGCATTGTTCATCCTCCGCAGTCATTGAAAGTACATGATTTGACGAAAATGTTTTCAATTACCGCCAAGCACGCAGGTCCCTCCGAGAATATAAACTCGCCAGAAAGATCCAAATCTCAGCTAGGTGATATTGTGAAGAGCTTCCTGGTATTTTCCTAGGCCTGAGAGATGATGGTTGCAGCTTGCTCGGCGAGGGCGTAAGTCGCAACCTGCAAGTGGGCAGCGATCGGCACAGGGAACACAGAAGTGTCCACCACGAACAGGTTGTCGACTCCCTTCACTTTCAAGTCATTGTCCACAACCTTGCCCATAGACGCTGTACCAGACGGGTGAAATGCAGATCTTTCACGACATGGACTATTAGCATCAAGATACCAGAAACACTTTGCGACGTTGTGCAACTTACCGGACTGACGCGCGAAGACGATTATTCAGGGCATCGTCCGTGATCCCTTCTGCAAGAGCATCCTGCCCCTCAGAAATGACCTCACCACCAAGGATCTCTCTTCCCAGAACAGTGGTGTTACTCCCAGCGAATCGGTATTTCAGGCGCTGAGCCTCTCGATGCACATATTGGTCGACGTTGGTACCAAAGTAGTTGGGATCGACGACCGGGAAGTCGCTCGCGTTGGTGGAGGCAAGAGTAACGGTTCCCCGAGAAGTCGGGAGAAAGAGGATAGACATGAAGCTGACGGTGCTGCCACTAGCACCGCCTCCGTAGCTGAAGTACTGGAACACATGCTCCAAGAGCGTACGATTTTGTTGAAGCAGACGATGCGTGCTCGGATCCGGCGCCACGCCCTCATCGGCTTCGATCGCTGCAGCCAAGCCCGATGCATCGACGGATGTGGACACCATGAAATCCTGCGGGTTACCCCATCCATACTGCTCCTGGTCGAAGAGTGGGTTCCCGGAGCCTGGAATCCAGCCTTCCTCTGGGTTCCTGATAGCCCACGATGTCGTTGAAGAGGAGTGCTCCATGAAGTTCTTGCCCACTTCAGGCGATTCGACCTTGACCTCGATACCATGGCGCTCTAACTCATCACGAGGACCAATGCCAGAGAGCATGAGGATCTGAGGAGTTCGAAGAGCGCCGGCTGATAGGATGACTCTTTGGCTGAAAATTTGTGTGCCGTTTGCGAGCTGAACTCCGGAGGCTTGTATAGTTCCATCTGTAGAGACGAGCACTTTCTCGACCAGAGTATCAACAAGCACAGTAATGCCATCGAGCGGATAGACCACTGAAGCGATCTCTCTTCGACCGTTGTGCTTGTTCTCGGAAAAGTCACCAACGCCAAGAGGATTGCCTGCGTTGCCATCAAGCCCCGGCAGGGTAGGTACTCCGATCTCATTCCACGACTGGAGCACGTATTCGCGAAGAGGGAAGGGTCTGTTAGTCGAAGTGACCGTTTGAGCGAAGACGTTGCCAGTGTAGCCGTGTTGTTCCGGGTTCCGGTCGGGGTGTTGGAAGGCTTCGGACTGCCTCATGAAGGGAAGCTGACCGGCATATGACCAGCGGTCATCGCCAACGGTAGCTCCCCATTCGTCGTAGTCGGCTTTGTCGCCTCGAACCCAGTTTCCTACACAACAGGGGTCGTTTCAGCAAAGATGAAGGCTCTTCGCTAATAGGAGACAGCTCAGAAACTTACCAGCATTGATCAAAGTGCCGCCTCCCAATCCGGTGCCTAGAAAGATGTCGAGGGTCCGGTTGTTGAGGTTGACTTGCGGCGCCGTAGGAACGCTCCATCGGAGGTCTGCACCACCAGTGCCGTTTGGCCAGACAATGTCCTGCCGATCGTTGGCATTGGGCCCGGCGTCAATGACCAAAATATTGAGGCTGGTGTTCAGGCCCAGCAGGCGGTTCGAGACCACTGAACCGGCCAGGCCACCACCTACAACGATGTAGTCCCAAAGCATGATCTAGAATTGTTGCCGGTCTTAAGGAAAGCAGGGTAAGGATTGACAAACACTCGGTGATGTGACATCCAATCTTAACATCGCTCGCAGGAAAAGAGCAGCGATTAAATACGTTACCACAATGGCCGCAGTGCCCCTTTCTCTGTCAGGGCTCGCGTCTGGGCCCGAACATGAGGCGGATCGATGATTCCAGTTCACTGAGACTTAAAATGACGATCAGGGTTAAATCGGTCCTTTGAGCGTCGTCATCACCCGCACGCATCGTAACCTTCCTATGGCGGCGACCTCTCCTTGCTTTCATCGAGGCTTGGCTGAGCTATCAATCTTTTGAATTGCTGCCATTGGCACATTCTCTTGCGCAATATTTCTAGGGGGATGTCTTGGGTGCCCACCAAGGAGCTCCCGGGGTAGCTCAAGCACCTCGGTGGCTGTTGCGATGGGTCTAGATATCAGCCGGTGGGATGTCAGCAAGTTGCATGTCAGCAGG